ATTATCATTCATTGTTTCTATAAGAAAATGTAATGTTTCTCTTTTTTTTAAGGTATTATTTATTTATTTATGTCAGAGAGAGACCAAGCATGTATGAGTTGGGAAGGACAGAGGGAGAAGAGCAAGAATCCCAAGTGGACTCGCACTGATTGTTGAGTCCCATGTGGGGCTCAATTCCATAACCCTGAGATCATGACCTGAGCTGAAATCAAGAGTTAGACGCTTAACTGACTGAGCCACCCACGTTTCCTGAATATGTAATATTTCTTTTTCTTTTTTAAAAAGATTTTATTTATTTATTTGACAGACAGAGATCACAAGTAGGCAGAGAAGCAGGCAGAGAGAGGAGGAAGCAGGGAGCCCTATGCGGAGCTCGATCCCAGGACCCTGAGATCATGACCTGAGCCGAAGACAGAGGCTTTAACCCTCTGAGCCACCCAGGCGCCCCATATGTAATGTTTCTAAAGAGTGACCTAATGATAAACTCTATGAGGAAATCATGGTCGTAACTGGGATGGAAACTGGCTTTCTTCATTTGAAAGAAGTCCATTAACCAAGATTTTTAAAAATCCAGAAGAGTACATTGTGGCCTTTCCTATTCTTCTCAGCCTATCCCAATTTCTCAAACTATACAGAGCTTTTATGTAGCATTGCCACTTTTAATTCAGCCTTGCTGTCACTCTGAAGTAGTGCCTTCTCAGGAAGGGCTCTCCCGCAGGAAGGACTTAAGACTATTTTGGTGAGAAAGCTTCCCTGCATCTACTGTGAATTCTCTTTATGAGTTGTCTGTTTAGCCTGCTAATGACCCTCACAGGGGGATTCAGGGAACTTTTCTTTCATTCTTTTATAATGGGTAGGCAGTAGGTAGGATTCAGGAGAAAAAAAAAATCAAAATACAAGATTAGTGTATCCAGATACAGTCTGAGTCAATCCCAGATCTCTTAAAAAAAAAAAAAAAAGAAGAAAGAAAGAAAGAAAGAAAGAACCGTAGGAAAAAAGACAATGATTTTGATTTCTGAAAATTATATTTATTAACTGTGTTTTCCAGTAGTACTTATGAAGAAAACCTCTGAAAAACCATTGTATTGTAGCAGTTTAGAGCAGGAGAGAAAAATATGGGATCTCTGTGGCTCTAGTTGATGGACAGAAATTTGTCCTAGTCATAGCCCATCATATGGGGATGGGAACACTGGGAAGACTGAGACTGTATGTCTTAAATTGTTTGTAATAGTCCTTCATGGGAAGATAGTGTATTTATAAAGAAGTTGATCATAATAGTAGATTTCAGAGACCTATTCTGCAGTGGGCTAGTGGGTTTTTTTTTAATCAATGACAAGATAAAACAATAAAAGCCCATCTAGAATAATGCCTTATATACAATACAGGAAAGATAACATCTTTGATGGAGAGAAAAACCTTTGTAAACTGTACAGATAAGAAAAAAAAAGTAAATGCTTTTCCAACACTTAACAGAAAAGTTTTTCTCAGATACTCAGTGACTAACGGAATTAGTTTTGGAAATAGGATTTAGGCTTGTAGTCAGAACAGGAACATTGGGCAAATGATAACAGAATGAAAGAAGATACGCTGAGTGTGAGGGAAAGTTTCCTTAGAAGAAAGTTTGAGTCCATAAAAGCCAGGCCAGGGAGATATAAAAGGGAGCAGGACATTTCTATATATAAATGGCCTTGAAGATATGACTAAACATCATTATTAAAGGGTGTGCTCAGCAAAAGAAGGAAGAATGAGGAGGACATCATGTCCAGAAAAGCATGGGTCCATTGTAAGGAAATTGTGGATTCAGCATAACAATTGTCCATGCTCAACAGTCCATGCTCAGCAGCAGGGCTGGAAATTTGTGTGTTCATACTGTTAAGGGCAGACAGGTTCTAATAGGACACCTGGAGGCCAGCACTAAGGAAGTTATGGCCAACTATTAGGAAGGTCAGAGTCCTGTCCTGGCAGCACTCCACAATAAGCCGGGTCAAACCAAACAAGTCCAAGATGGTGGATGCCATAACAGGAAACTCCTGACCAAATTAGGAAGAAAAGGTAGGAAACCCTGCTTCACACCCCAGATAATGAAGATTCTGCCCTCTAGTTAACAACTGTCAATACAAGATAGAAACCCAAACCCCTGGGCATCCATCTCTCTCTCTCTCTTGAGCTCACCAGCTCTCCTATCTCTAGAGTGCACTTTTCACTTTAATAAACTTTACCTCTTGTGTCACTTAACCACTGTGCTGTGTGTCTGTCTTTGAGTTCATTCTCATGACAAGTCCAAGAACTCTCAGCAACTCCTTTGGGTCTGGCTGGGTCAAGACCCCAGGGCCTGAGGTCTCCCCAGTTCACCCAGCAACAATACCAAAGAGGATTTGTAAAACAACAACAACAACAAACCCCCAAAACCCCAAAACTAGGATATCATAAAGTCAGCAGTAGAAAATATGTAACTAGGAATTTTTAAAAAGTTGTGCAATAAAAGAGATATAATCTTTACATATCATTTGGCTCTGTAGTGAGCACTATTTACATGGTACAGGGAAAAGGACTTTCCAAGTTGCTAGAGTAACTGGAGATAGAGATATTTTGAGTGACATCTGGGCACTGCAATCATTATTGCTACCTGACAGATTCTGGATGTATTGTAGGCATGACCAAAGGGTCCAGAATTTATAAACATTCCTTTACACAACAGTGTATACATTTGTGTGTGTGTGTGTATAAATTCTTCTGATTAGGTTGAGTATAAAAGCATCGCTCACAAAAGTTGAGTTTCTCTGATATAGAAGGACCCACTCCAGTATCCTAATATGGGGCTTGATCTTAGGACACTGAGATCATGACCTGAGCCAAAATCAAGTGTCACATGTTTAACTAACTGAGCCACCCAAACACACCTGCTTCTGCTTTCTGTGGTTACCCCATTTTCAATAAAATTTTGTAAAACTTGTCTAATTAAATCTTACTCAACCATATGTAAATGTTGCATGAAGTTTTCCCTAAACTGTGCCACATCTTGGAAGTCTCAACAGCACTTGTATCTTCGAAAGCAAAAAAGACAATTAGAAAAACAAAACAGGGGCGCCTGGGTGGCTCAGTGGGTTAAGCCTCTGCCTTGGGCTCAGGTCATGATCTCAGAGTCCTGGGATCGAGCCCCGCATTGGCTCTCTGCTCAGCAGGGAGCCTGCTTCCCTTCCTCTCTCTCTCTCTCTCTCTCTCTCTGTCTGCCTCTCTGCCTACTTGTGATCTCTCTCTCTGTCAAATAAATAAATAAAATCTTAAAAGAAAAGAAAAGAAAACAATCCGCAAGCATTTACTGTGCGCCAGGCACTACTGTAAGTACTTTGCTAATCCATTAACTAATTATTAAACCTCAACAGTTCTTTGCGGCTGGTATCACTATGGTGTGAGCTGCTGCTCACACAGCTAAGACGTGGTACAGCCAGGTTTCCGGAGCTATGTAGTCCATGCTCTCCACTAATGAACCGTTGGCTGTTCAAATGATGGGCCCCGCATACGGCAGTGGGCCTTCCACTGCAGCGCCGCCACAGAACCTAGCTAGGCAGCTTCAGGACCTGAAGAGCACCCAGGAGGGGTAAACGCCAGGGAAGCCTGGAAGATTACGCGGATTGCAAACGTTCCGTGGTCTGAGGGGGCCAGACCGTGTCCCCGGGAGGAGCTACCAAGAGAGGGCGCTGCAGGGCCCGAGCCTGGAGCCCCCAACTCTGGCTCACAGTCTCAGAGAGAAGGAACAGCGGCTGTTAGCAGCTCGGCTGGGGAACCACGGAGACGCGCACGTTTTCACGTTCCTAGAGAGGAAGGGAAACGGCTCTACGTATTTCCGGCGGAGAGGGTCCCAAGCTTTCCCGGGAGCGCAGGTTCGCAGCCGTCCCTCGCGTTCCCTGTATCTGCGGCGCTCGGTTGTAGCGGTCGGTTGGGCTCCGGGTCCGGCTAACGGGGCTACATCCCCACGGCGTTCTCCAGCACCTGGTTCTCCAGTCCCTGTGGCTCTGGGGTGAGGGGGTACTGGGACAGAGGGGGCCCCCGGCGGAAGACGGCATTTGAGGGGTGCCCGGCAGCAGCAGCCCTACTCTTGCCTCTTATTTTATCTTCAGCCTCACCTCGAACCCCGAAGGCGCTGTGTGAAGTGGGGACCCCAGCCATGCTCCAGATCACGTGGCGCCAGGTGAGCGAGCATCCTCTCTGCCTCTGTCGTCCTCCTTACCGGCCCGCCCACCCTTAGATGGCAAGTGAGAGCAGATGTCAGTCCGCATCCAGAGCCTGAGTTGTCCAGGTCTTAGGGGACTTGGGTCCTTGGACTCAGCATCCGTAGAAACGAGACTGGACCCCAAATTTAAAGTCACAAGAAAGGCTTTATTGGGGCTTAAGCTCGAGCACAGGGGAGCAGCACAAAGAATCCTCAGGCTGACTCCGAGGAGAGGTCAAGGAGAATTTTTTTTTTTAAACCCCACTATTTTTTTTTTAATTTTTAAAGATTTTATTTATTTGACAGAGATCACCACTAGGCAGAGAGGCAGGCGAGGGGGTCGGTGGGAAGCAGGCCCCCGCTGAGCAGAGAGCCCGTTGCGGGGCTCGATTCCAGGACCCTGGGACCGTGACCTGAGCCGAAGGCAGGCGCTTTAACCCACTGAGCCACCCAGGCGCCCCCCAAGGAGAATTTTTAATAAGATACTTAGGTAGGAAGATTGTGCCGTCTAAGCAAGTAGAGCGGGGCATTTATTAGCACCTACACACTTAAAGGTCATGTTTCTTCATGCATCGCTTGCGTAATGAACTTGTTAAATCTCCACCCCTGGGTATGAGTTTTAGTATTATAATGAGGGAAAAGTCGTGAAAATTCAGCACTCGTGTGGATCTTGGAGGAGGCTGGTTTGGACCGGTCGGGGCTTGCTCCTTAGCTGATGCTTTGCTCTGCAAGCAGTGAAAATAGCCAGTAGGGAGTTGTGTTAGAAAAGCGTTAACAGCCGGCAGGCAGCGGGGAGGTGTATGGGAGCTCCTTCCCAAGGTTCCCGTTGGACAGGTTTGTGGCTTTCATTGTGCGGCTGTCACTATCAGGTGTGTTCGGGCAGAGGAGGTGGAGTTGAGAGGGATGGAGAGATCAGAATGCCCAAACTAAGACATAATCAGGATGGAAAGGCAAGTGTGGGGGATTGATTGGGATAGATTTGCAGTGGAGGCTGAGAAGTAGAAATCTGCATCATTGCATGTTGTGAAGACCCTTTTCACCTCTGTCCACAGGAGTGTTCTCTTTCCTTGGACAAAGTAATTCTAGTTTTTGTTGTTGTTGTGTTTGGTTTTGGTTTGTTTTTGGTAGATTCCATTGGATTTTTACATAGACATGCCATCTACAAATACAGTTTTACTTTTTTCTTTCCTGTCTGGATACCTTTTCTTTCTTTTTCTTGCCTAACTTCACTTGCATTTAATGTGGAGGACAGGTGGTGAGGGCAGATATCCTTGTCTTATTTGTGATCCCAAGTGAAAGCATTCAATATTTCTCAGTTAAAACCATCATAGGTTTTGTTTTATTTTGTAAATGCCCTTTATTACATTGAGAATGTTCTGTGCCTAGCTTGCTGAGAATTTTTATCAAGAGTGGGTGCTGGATTTTGACAAATGCTTTTTCTTTTCTTTTCTTTTTCTATTGTATTGTGTTAGTTACCATAAAATACATCGTTAATTTTTGGTGCAGTGTTCCAAGATTGTTTATGCACCACACCCAGTGCTCCATGCAGTATGTGCCCTCCTTAATACCCACCACCAGGCTCACCCATTCCCCCCACCCCCCTCTCCTCCTAAACACTCAGTTTCTCAGAGCCCACAGTATGTCATGGTTCATCTTCCCCTCCGATTTCCACCTCCCCCTTCATTTTTCCTTTCCTTCTAATGTCCTCCATGCTATTCCTTATGTTCCACAAGTAAGTGAAACCCTATGATAATTGACTATCTCTGCTTGACTTATTTTGCTTAGCATAATCTCCAGTCCTGTCCATGTTAATACAAAAGTTGGATGACTGAGTAAAATTCCATTGTGTATATGAACCAACCTCATTTTCTTTATCCATTACTCTGTTGGAGGGCATCGTGGCTCCTTCCGCAGTTTGGCTATTGTGGACATTGCTGCTATGAACATAGAGGTACATATGGCACTTTTCATGACATCTGTATCTTTGGGGTAAATACCCAGTAGTGCAATTGCTGGGTGACAAATACTTTTTCTATGTTGGTTTAGAGGACTTTATGGTTTTTCTATTTTAGTTTCTTAATATGGTGAATTACATTAATTTTTCAAATGTTCAACCAACTTTGCATTCCTTGAATAAAAACCATTTGGTCATTTGTATTATTCTTTTACTGTATTTTGGATTCTCTTTTGTTAAAATTTTGTTTAGAATTTTTGCACTATGTTTGTAAGGGGTATCGATCTGCAGTTTTCTTGTTGTGACTGTCCATTGATTGAATAAGTTGGAAAGCATTCTGTCCTCTTGAGTATTTTGGAAGAATTTGTGTAGAAGTATTTGGTAGAATTTCTTCCTTAAATATTTCTTCCTTAAATATTTGGTAGAATTCACCAGTGAAACCACTTAGGTGTGGAGTTTTCTTTCTAATAACTTTTATTTATTTATTTATTAAAGATTTTATTTACTTATTTGACAGAGAAAGATCACAAGTAGGTAGAGAGGCAGGCAGAGAGAGAGAGAGAGAGAGAGAGGAGGAAACAGGCTCCCTGCCAAGCAGAGCAGAGAGCCTGATGTAGGACTCTATCCCAGAACCCTGAGATCATGACCTGAGCCAAAAGCAGAGGCTTAACCCACTGAGCCACCCAGGCACCCTGGGAAGAAACTTTTGATATCTCATTGAAACTGGTAATGTCAACACAAGTAGAACTGAGATAGATTATACACAGATAATATTATACTGAGTGCCTACTAAATATCTATACAAAGAAATACTCTGAGCTCAGAGCCCAACACAGAGCTAGGTCCCAGGACCCCGAGATCATGACCTAAGCTGAAGTCAGAGGCTTACCCACTAAGCCACCCAGGCGCCCCTAAAGCAAAGAATACTAAGAGATAAAGAAAGTCATTTATGACCCCAGCAGGGAGCCTGCTTCCTCCTCTCTCTCTCTGCCTACTTGTGACCTCTATCTGTCAGATAAATAAAGTCTTTAAAAAAAAAAGAGTCACATACACTGAGCCAGCCAGGCGCCCCTTCCCAAAATATTCTTGAGTCTTTTCTGGAATCAGGTTCAGTTACTTGGAAACAATTTGGTTCTTCCTGGTCCTGATATTTATTATTTGCCAGTAGAATCTGGAAAGTAGAATTCTGGTCAGCCTAGGAATAATTACTCTCCACTACTAAGGCAAGAGTTTCCCGAGAGCTCTATCTAGTGGCCTATGAATTATGAAATTTTCCAGTGTGGATAGTAGAAGTAGGCGCTGTTTCTAGACCTATGTGAATGCCAGGCATTGTGTCCTTCAGTCCTTTCAAATGATCCTTTTCCTGGCTTTGAGTAGTTTCCACACACCTGAGCCCTGGTCATTCTTTGCCCAGTCGAGTGAACCCTCTGCAGATAATTGTTTTTTTTTTTTTTTTAATCTGTGCAACTCTCTTCTCTATAGTATTCTGTCCTCTAAACTCTGCTGTCTTGGTCTCCTCAGAAGCTACCAGGGAATCTGCTCGGCTTCGCCTCATTTCCTCCTCCCTGTGTTGCAGCCTGGAAACTCCTAGTAGTAAGCATGGTGACTCACAGGGCTCACCTTGTTAACTTCCTGTCCCTCTGGGATTGTTATCCTCCATTGCTGTCACCTAGTATCTGATAACTTGTTTTGTGTAAATTTGTCTTGTTTTGGTTTAGGCAAGATAAAACCAATCACTTTGACTCCATCTGAATGAAAACCGGGGGTTTTCACTCAGCATTTTTATTTTTTATTTTTTTAAATTGATTTATTTGAGAGAGAGATTGAGAGCAAGGGGAGAGGGAGAGAAAGAATCCCAGGCAGACTCCACACGGAGTGTGGAACCTGATGCAGGGCCCATCTCATGACACTGAGATCACAATCTGAGCAGAAATCAAGAGTCTGAGGCTTAACTGACTAGGTCACCCAGGGGCTCCTTCGCTCAGCACTTTTAAAAACATTTCCCCTTTACTTTTGCTATATTGTCTGTTGTCATCTTGAATCCCCAGTCTTTGTGTATGTATGTGTGTTTCCTGCTCTGAAGTCCTTTAGGATTTTTTTTTTTTAAGATTTTATTTATCCATTTGAGAGAGAGAGAAGCATGAGGGGGGAGAAGGTCAGAGGGAGAAGCAGGTGGGAGCCCCATGCCGGACTTGATTCCGGTACTCCGGGATCATGACCTGAGCGAAGGCAGTTGCTTAACCAACTGAGCCATCCAGGCATCCAGGATTTTTTTTTTTTTATGTTTTCATTTTTCTGAGACTTCTCAGTGATAGGCCTTGTGTAGGTATTTTTCATTTACTACTCTGAGTACTTGTCAGTCCTCTCTCCTTCCTGGTGCTTTTAAACAGATAGAATTACCAAGTTTTAAAAAGCAGAGCACAGGGCGCCTGGGTGGCTCAGTGGGTTAAGCCTCTGCCTTCGGCTCAGGTCATGATCTCAGGGTCCTGGGATTGAGCCCCGCATCAGGCTCTCTGCTCAGCAGGGAGCCTGCTTCCCCCTCTCTCTCTGCCTGCCTCTCTGCCTACTTGTGATCTCTCTCTCTGTCAAATAAATAAATAAAATCTTAAAAAAAAAAACAAAAAACAAAAAGCAGAGCACGCTTAAAAAAAATCCTGAGCTCATTCTTGGTTTTGTATGATGATCAGCCTCCTTTTTGTTTGCTTCCCCCTCTGCCAGCAGTTAACATTCAGCTTTCTCTGCTCTTCTAATTTAGTACATTCATCCTTTCTGTCTTCTAAAATTGTTAACATCCTTGGTCTGCTCAGACTTCTTCTCCTTGTGGGCCATTATATTACTGTCACTTTAGTGGGATTAGGGAGGGAGTGGAGATCAGTACAAAAGTGCTGTGGGCTGTGTTTATACAGATGTTCTCTGTGCATGTGCACACAAAACCCATGGAAAGGAGCCAGAGGGACAGGCACATAGAGCAGGGCCTGGCAGAGTCAACACAGAGGTCAGCAGGGGAAGGAGGGGCTGTTTGTGGGGATGACCACACAGAGGTACAGTGGGTCTTGGACTCTCCTGTTGATGAGGGTGATGCCAGCTGAGGGCTGGCCCCCACGGGGAGTAGAGGGCACTGGAGAACTGTCCTTGGCAATACCACCACATCCAGTTGATCTCTGCCCCGATACGTAGGCTCCTTTGCCTTCACACAGAGTTTGAGCAGGAACCTGTTGTTTCAGGAGCCAGTGACCTTTGAGGACGTGGCTGTGTACTTCACCCAGAATGAATGGGTTATTCTGGACCCTTCACAGAGGGCCCTGTACCGAGAGGTGATGCTGGAGAATTATGCAAATGTGGCTTCCCTGGGTAAGGACTCTCTTCTCCCTGCTGTTGTCTTTCTCTGCCTTTCGTGCATCCTGGCTTCTTTCTTCCTTTTAGACATCGTGGCCTCTCTGATAACCCTCATGGGCAGTTGCTCCAAAGGCTGAGCTTCTCAGAGGCTACTGGTTGGGGAGAGTTTCGGGTTCCCTGGTTTTGAAACCTGCTGTCCCCCTGGCCCTGGGAGGGACTCTGCCCCATGCATGGAGGGAAAGGAAGAGCTCGTGGGAGCTCAGCAGAGCCCTTTGTTTCTGTCTTCCAAGTTCTCTGAAGATGATCTGGGACTCCCTCGTGTGAATGGGGGCTTATTCCAGGACTCTGCCCCCATCTGTGGGAATTTTCTTTCTTCTAAGATAGCGCAGGCTAACTTCTCTTCATTTCCCTCCCTGACTCAGTGAAGAAAAGTAAAGACAGTCAAGAGGGGACCTTGCTTCCTGATTCCCTTTACTTTTTGTTCCTGTTTCTTTCTCCTGGGCAGCTTTTCTATTCACCAGACCTGTTCTGGTCTCCCAGCTAGAGCGAGGGGAGCTGCCATGGGGCCTGGAACCCTGGGAGCCTGCGGGCAGGGAAGCTCTCAGAGGCATCTGTCCAGGTGAGCATGAGAACCTACTAGCTGCCTTTTTTTGCTTAGCCTGCTTTCCTACATCACATTTGAATGTGTGTGAGACTGTTTTCTTTCTTCTGGAATCATTATATGTGATTCTGTGTTCATGGTGGTAGTCTCCCTCAAATGAGGAAGGGCCAGTCTCTTCCAGGGAAGGCTGCAAGATTTCTCTGCATGTTCACCTTTCCTTTCCACCTCACCACCTGCTAAGGGACACCATGTGACTGAGCGAGCAGCTCTTGAGGCATGAGAGCTCTTTTGAACCCTGTCTTGTGGAAAGTTTATTTTTCCACCCGTTTGTGTTGCAGAGATGAGGATGTCAACCAAGAAGGAAAATAGGCTTCTGGGGCCTATCTGGCCATCCACATATTCACAGAGTACATTCTTTCTTTCTTTCTTTTTTTTTTTTAAGATTTTATTTATTTATTTGATCGACAGAGATCACAGGTAGGCAGAGAAGCAGGCAGAGAGAGAGGAGGAAGCAGGCTCCCTGCTGAGCAGAAAGCCTGATGTGGGGCTCCATCCCAGGACCCTGGGATCATGACCTGAGATGAAGGCAGAGGCTTTAACCCAGTGAGCCACCCAGGTGCCCCCAGTACATTATTTCTATGGGAACATTTTTTTTTTTTTAAGTAAACTCTACCCCTTGTATGGGGCTTGAACTCAGAATCCTGAGATCAAGAGTTGCATACTGTACTGACTGAACCAGCCGGACTCCTCTCTCTGGGAAACTGAATTATGAGTTCCCAAACACTGACTTAAATAAAAATAAAAAATAAGGGGACCTGGGTGGCTCAGTGGGTTAAAGCCTCTGCCTTCGGCTCAGGTCATGATCCCAGGGTCCTGGGATGGAGCCCCGCATCGGGCTTTCTGCTCAGCAGGGAACCTGCTTCCTCCCCTCTCTCTCTCTGCCTGCCTCTCTGCCTACTTGAGATCTCTGTCTGTCAAATAAATAAATAAAATCTTTAAAAAAAAATAAAATAAATTTTACAATTGAAAAAATTATTTAAAAATAAAACAATTCTTTTTCATAATTTATTTAAAAATAAAACAATTCTTTTTCATAATGGAAAATTTCCCACATACTCAGACACCAGCACAGCACACCCCGTGATTCCTTTGCCTCAAGACCCACCTGAAGCCTGTCATTTTTCCCTTACAGACTCTTAAAAAAAAACGTTGATTTTAACAGCTGAGCTTTTGAAACAAAACTTGCTATAACGGAACGGTGAATGGCTTCCTCATTTTGATTGATATGCGAATAAAAAATAACAACACGGTGTGTTTTTTTCCTGCCTTTGTTATTCTTTTTCACCCCTGCTCTGCCTGTAAAATTTCATGTGCTCCTCAGACTCTCGACAGAGAATGTCCATAAGTAATGCACAACTCCCTCCCACTCCCAGCCTTGTGTTAAAGTTCTGCCTTTCTGGATATGATCCCAGGACTTCAGGCTATCTGTGTAAAAAGATAAACAGTTCGCTTGTAAACACACAAGGTTGCCCTGGCCCAGTGCCGAAGATTATATTAGCCTGCAAAAGGCCTTAATAGGAGAGGGAGAACTGCCTTTGGTTTTCTCTATTTCACATTCTTACTGTCCTAGTAAACAATACACAGCTTGTGCAGTACTGTAGGAAAAGCACCAGAGTCATTACCAGATCCTCCCTAAGGCTTACGTCTGTTCTTGGAAGGGTTCCTCACACATGCAGTGCATGCTATTTTGTTTTAGTTTTTTAAAGACTTTATTTATTTATTTGACAGAGAGAGGGAGAGCGCACAAGCAGAGAGGGGAAGCCGCAGACAGAGGGCGAGGGAGAGAGGGAGAAAAAGTCTCTTCGCTGAGCAGGGAGCCCAATGTGGGGCTCAATACCAGGAGCCAAAGGCAGAAGCTTAACGACTGAGCTGCCCAGGGACCCTTGCTCTTTTATTTTAGAAGCGAGCCTCGGTGTCTTCCCCTTTCCTTCCAGCTATGGTGGGTTAGCCCACCATAGTTCCCTTAGCCACAGCATAGGAGGCTGCCACTTTACTGGCATCAGCCTGATGACAGAGACCATTCTCTTTTCAAATATTATGACATGGATAATGTTGTAAAAAATAAGCAGCTTTTAAGGAATCAGTTGTGGGACCCTTTGTAGTTTGAGCTGCTTGACCTGCCCCTTCTTCAGTCTGGTGGTCTTCCTCTGACCCTGGGGTCTCTATTCATCACTTTTCCATATATTCTTATCCCACCCATTCACTCAGGAGAAAGTGGTTGGTCTTCCCGTCCTACTAGGTAACAGTCTTCACTGTTTTCCAGTCTTTACACTCTTTATGGCAATGCCTCCTGGCCTTGCTTGCGTACCACCCATAGTATCTTCATTTCACTTGTGGGGCTCTGCTGTATGGTGGTCTTTGGTAGCCATTTTGTGTACCTGTAGGAAAATAGTCACATAGGGCAGATGAGAACCACTTGATCCTTTTTCCCCTTCAGCACTGTCAGAGGCTAACACTTGTGTTGTTGTTGTTGTTGTTGTTTTTTCCCTTGTGATGTCAGGAGGTGAGACCAGAGCTGAGAAGGAAGAATCAACTCCAAAGGAACACATTTCTAAAGAAATGGAGTCCCACAGACTGACATTAGGAGGGCTGCCAGGGAACGTTACCCAGCGCCTGGACTTTGGGAGCAGCCTAGAGCAACAGCATGGTCACTGGATAGCTAAGAAGACCATGTCAAAGAGGAGAGATTTCACAGCTGGGCCAACCAGCCATCGCGACAACTGCACTGTCGGGAGTGGGGAGCACTGTGAGAAATTTGGGGAAAACATTAATGTTAGCACACAACTCATGGATCAGACAGTTCCTAGTGGTCAGATATCATATGAATGTAGAAAATGTGGCAGATATTTTAGTCGAATGGCAGATTTTCAGGGATGTCACACTGGTGAAAGGTCTTTCAAATGCAAAGAATGTGGAAAAGCCTTCAGATACAACTCATTACTTATTCGGCATCAGGTAATTCACACTGGAAAGAAACCATTTAAATGTAAAGAATGTGGAAAAGGTTTAAGTTCAGACACGGCCTTGATTCAGCATCAGAGAATCCACACTGGAGAGAAGCCCTATGAATGTAAGGAGTGCGGCAAGGCCTTCATTAGCAGTTCTGTTTTCCTCCAGCACCAGAGGTTCCACACTGGGGAGAAACTCTATGAATGTAATGAATGTTGGAAGACTTTCAGTTGTAGCTCAAGCTTTATCGTCCATCAGCGAGTGCACACTGGGGAGAAACACTACGAATGTAAAGAGTGCGGGAAACGGCTAAGCTCCCCCACAGCCTTGACTCAGCATCAGCGCATTCACACAGGGGAGAAACCTTTTGAATGTAAGGAGTGTGGGAAGGCCTTTAGTCAGAAAATCACCCTGGTCCAGCACGAGCGAGTTCACACTGGTGAGAAACCATACGAGTGTGAGGTGTGTGGGAAAACCTTCAGCTGGTGTGGGCGATTTACTCTGCATCGGAAACTACACACACAGAAGATACCTGTTCAAGAGTAAGGTGGTCTGCAGCTGGGCATGCTGTGCCTTGTTGTTTCTCCCCTTTCATGTTCTTCACAGCTCTTTACAGTTAGAAAAGAAGAAACAAAGTCCCAAACTCAAATGTACAGAGAAATGTAACTGTCTGTGACTCTGGAGTTTGTGGTGTCTCTGAGTGCCCCTCAGGATGGATGAGGGATGGGTGGGAGGACCTACATCAGAGAACACCACTGTGAATTACCAAAACTCCAGGCTTTTAAGAGGAGATCTTAAAAAGGTTCTAGAGAAAACAAAAGTTCAGGAATAAGAATGCACTGGATTTCATAACAGCAGTCTTGAAAGTTAGAGGACGTGGCATATTCCTGCAAAATTCTAAGGGAAAATAAGTTCCACCCAGTATTCAGTACTCTCAAATGTGAATTGAGTATACTCTTTTAGATTTTGAACCTTTGTCTCCCATGCATTCATTCTTAGGTGTGCAACACTAAACAAGGGATCAACCAGAAAAGAAAAAGATAACGTGGACATCCTATCATAGTCTATATTAGGAGTCTCCTAAACTCAGAAACAGAGGGTCCTTATCCCTGTGGAGCCATCTGTATTTTGGAGGATATTCCTAATGGGCTACAGGTTTTCAGAGACCTACCTCAGGTGCAGTGCCCACCCACACCACTTACTCTGTAGTCATTTCTCAGTGCTCGGTTGTAGTCTGTGCCTTTGCAAAAGTTGGGGTATATATACCCTTTGAGTCAAATGCAAGGCCCTATTTATCAAAAATTCGTCCCATCTCATTGCTCTTCCAAGTGACCTCACAGCAGGAAGCATTTCCTTGCAACTTCACTTAGTTCTGTCTTATCACAGAAGAAGCGTCCGTTATTTTCTGTTACCAGTGGAAACAAGGGGAGATGTAAATGTGTTCTGTTTTAGCATCCCTCTTTTGCAAGCTGCTTGACTTTGCCCACTGCAGGAAGCAGAGTAGTGGATAGTAATACAGAACCAGGTGTGAGCCCAGGTGTGTCACCTTGGTTAAGTTGCAGACACTACTAATTTCCTTATCTGTAAAATCTGGATGATGGTCTACCTCATATGTTTGTGTTGAGGATTAACTGCATTAATACATGCAGGGGTGCTTAGAACAATGACTAGAACCTGGTAAACAATGGTGTTATTTATTATAATACCATTGCTAAGTGATGACTTATGTATATACCAGTGAAACAGTCACCACAGTCAAGATAATAAGCAGAGCCATAACCCCCCAAAATTACTTATGCTCCTTGGTAATCCCTTTCCTAGCTTTTCACAGCAAGTGCTGATCTATCACTTTGGATGAGTTTTGCTTTTCTAGGATTTTATAAAAATAGCCTATTTTGTGTACTTTTTTTTTTTTTTTTTGGTCTGGTGTCTTTCAGCATAAATTATTTTGAGATTTATGTAACATATTCATTATATATCAGTGGTTCTTTTTTTGGGATGGGGGTGGCTGAACAATATTCCACTATGGAAATAAATAAATTTGTTCATTCATCTCCTGATGGCCATTTGGGTTGTTTCCAGTTTTTGGTTGTTACGAATAAAGCTGCTATGGATATTTGTGTTTAAATCTTTGTAATGGTGTATACTTTTGTTTCTCTTGGGTAAATAAGGAATGGAATGCCTGTGTCATAAGGTAGGTGCATATTTACATTTTTAAAAAAGATTTTATTCAGAGAGGGAGAGAGAGCATGTGCCTGCATAGGAGCAGGGAGGGAGGTTGGGGAGGGAGAAGCAGACTCCCTGCAGATCAGGGAGCAGAACCCTGAGATCATAACCTGAGCCGAAGTCAGATGCTTAACTTACTGAGCCATCCAGGTGCGTGCCTCAGTATATATTTACATTTTTAAGAATCTTCAAAACTTCTATAAAGAAGTTGTACCATTTTATATCCATACCAGCACGTATGAGAGTTATACTCTCATGTCTTCATCTTTGGCTATGCTTAATACTGTTTTAAATTTTAGCTCTTACAATAAGTGTAATGCTGTCTTCTTGTGATTTTACTTTGCATTTCCATAATGACTAATGATGTTGAACATACTTTCATGTGCTTATTTGCCTTCCATATGTCTTAGGTTAAATGTCCATATCTTTTGCCTATGTTTTTATTGGGTTTTCTTTTTATTGATACTTGGGAGGTCTCTTTGGGATGGGGAGTTCTTTATATATTGTGGATACAAGTCCTTTTTCAGATATGTTATTTGTGAACATTTTCTCCCATGGGGCTGGGCTTTTCAGTCTCTTAATTTTTTTTTTTTAAGATTTTATTTATTTATTTGAGAGAGAGATTGAGTATGAGCAGGGTTTGGTGGGAGGGACAGAGGGAGAGGGATAAACAGAGTTCTTGCTGAATGGGGATCCTGGTGCGGGGCTCAATTCCAGGACCGTGAGATCATGACCCAAGCGAAAGCTAGATTCTTAACCAACTGAGCTCCCCAGGTGTCCCTCATTCTCTTAATCTTTTGAAGAGCAGAAGTCTTATTAATGAGGTCCAATATAACAGTTTGTTCACTTATGGATTATGCCTTTCATGTCATACTTAAGAAATTCTTGCCTTACCCAAGATTGTTTCCCCTATTTTTCTTCCTAGAAGTTTTGTAATTTTAGATTTTATGTTATGTCATCTATTTTTGTCTTAAATTTTGTGTAGGGTATGAAGTATGCCTCTAAGTTCCTTCCTTTCTCCTCTTCTCCATGCCTTTTTAGGTGCATATCCTAGTTTTGAAAATGACTCCTCCACTGAATTGCCTTTGCACCATCGTTGCAAATCAGTTGTCCATAGAGGTGTGGGCCTACTTTTGGATTCTATTTGTTCCATTCGACTGTTTGTCTGTCTTGATGCCGTTGCCTTAATTACTGTAGTTTTTCTAAGTGTTGAAGTCACACAGTGTTAGTTTTCCTATTGTGTTTTTACCAAAGTTGTTTTGGCCATTCTAGGTCCTTTGCACTTCATAGGAGTTTTAGAACCAGTTTGCAAATTTTTGTAAAGCATATCCGGGGATTTCGGTTGAGATTGTATGACTCTTTAGATCAGTTTTGGGGAGAATTCACATCTCAAATGTATAGTCTTAACTCAAAAACATGGCAAATATCTCATTTGGATCTTTATTTGGGCAGTGTTTTGTAATTTTTAATGTATAGGTCTTTCACACCTTTTGTCAGATTTGTCTAGATATGTCATTTTTGATGCTATTATAATAGTAAATTTCTAAATGTTCATTGATGGTATATAGAAATGCAATTGATTTTTGTATTTTGACCTTGTATCCTGCAATATTGCACAACTCACTTATTCTAATAACGTTTTTAAGATTCTGTAGGATTTTTTAACATTGATCATGTTCATAACCATTTTACTTCTTTCCAATTCTGGATCTTTTTTCTTGCCTTATTGCACTGGCTAGTGGCTTGGGGGTAGTGTGTTTTTAGGGAGAGCCAGTCCTTGTGATATTGGCCAGGTGAGGGACATCCAGCTCCAGATTTTTAATTTTGCTGATATATGAGTAAGCTCCCTGATAGCTGTAAAAGCTCAAGTTTCCCACCTCCTGGTTCACCGTGCTTTCTAGATGCCTGTACATCAGCACGGCCTGTACTCTGCCCTCTGGTGAGGCTGTTCTGGGAAAGAATGGGACTTTTGCATGCTCCCAGTTTTCTCCTCTGACTGCCCATGATTCCAATTCTCATTTTCACAACTTGGGGATTTTTATTTGGGTCTACCAAAACTTTCTCATTTATTCTCCCTGCACTATAATACCAGATAGAGGAATACCATGCCCAATATTGTCCCCCTTCAAGTTAGATCTGATTGTGATAACTGGCTAATACTTTTTTTCCCTAAGATTTTATTTCTTTGAGAGCGAGCGAGCAAGCGATCATAAGCAGGGGAAGCAGCAGAGGGAGAGGGAGAAGCAGACTCCGCTGAGCAGGGATCCCAATGCGAGGCTCCATCCCAGGACCCTGAGAATGACCTGAGCCAAAGAGAGATTCTTAACTGAATGAACCACCCATGCACCCCTGGCTAATACTTAAGGGTTTGTGATGTATATGTGTATATGTGCACCCATATATGTGTGCCCATCTTTCTAGATTAATGGTAGTTGTTCATTTTGATCAGCTTAGAGAAGAGGCAGTTTGAAAATAGAAGTCCTCATCATGCTGTTGTTCCTGGAAATCTAATTCATTTACTTAAAGCAACTGTACAAAAGCTTTACAATGAAAATACTGGAAATTTTATAAAATATATGGTTTCTGTGGTAGACAAAATCTCAGTATTAGGCAGCCTCCATATGGTCCGTGGTGATTCTAATCCTTGCATTCATGCCCTATCTCATGTAATATTGTATTATGAGAGCCCTGTTTTGGTAGTACATTGAGGTGATGATGGTGCATGACTTCCAAAGCTAGGTCTTCACACTGCAGTTGGCCTTGACATTTTTTTATTTTAAAAAAGGTTTTATCTAATTTTTAAATAAACTGTACACCCAGTGTGGGGCTTGAACTCATGACCTGAGATCAAGAGTCACATGCTCCACCAACTGAGGCAGCCAGGTGCCCCTGGCCTTGGCCTTTTGGATTGCTTACTTTAGGTAGAAACCTGTGGCAAAATTGTGAGGACACAACTGTGTGCAGAAACTCATGTGGGAAGGGACTGAAGTTTCACAGCAGTAACCAGTAATTTAAGCGTATACGTAAGCAGCCCCAGGTGACACCTGCATGGAACTTCATGAGAGATCCCAAGCTGGGATCTTCCAGCCAAACCACTCCTGAATTCCTGGTCTACAGAAACTTTAAGAAACATGTTGAATAAATATATTGTTCTCAGCCACAAAGTTTTGGGATGATTATGCAGCAGGAGGTACCTATTGTACTTTCCATGACAGGACTTCAAGCTATAGTTAGTAACAGTCTAATTCCTGTGGAAGGGTAACAGCACTCAGGCTGGTCTGAAGCATTAACACTCTTACTCCCTGACCTAAGGCCTCAGTCTGTAACAGAACTATTTTACTTTCTTCGAAATTTGCAGACCGTTGACCTTGAGAA